GCTTTGATTATAAATAGTGTTTAGGTGCACAAACTGTGCTAGATGCGAATCTGTCATTCTACTCTGTATTTAAAACTATAATTTACATTTTTTTTTATCTTGGTGGCCTAGTAGATGGCTTAGTACTTGTTACATGGCCTTCTTATCAGGCAACAACATTGGTAGAGCTGACATGCTTTTTTTGATCACATTTCAAACCTGCTTATGCATTTGTACATTTGTTTCAGTGTCAAAAAATGACCAAAAAGTACCAATAATGTGAATAGTTTTTCATGCAGAATAAGGCTGTGTGCATGAAATCACATGCAAATCATAATAAAATGTAGTTTAAAATGAGTTAAAAATCTGCTTATTCAACAGAACTTTTTTTTTCGATTAACTCTGAGCAAGAAATAATTAACATTAAATTGCAGCATACATTTGTAATTGCCAGAGATCTGTGACTTTTAAAGCTGCATTTACAGTGTCACAGTAGATGGTTGACAGCAAACAGCTGCCACAGTATTGGGCAGCTCATTTAAATCTGCTGTAGCTATCTAAATGTCTTTATCAAATGGTGAAAAACATTTGACTTGTGTCATTTAGCTACCTCCTGCTTCCAAAACTGGCAGTTTCTCTTCAAATTTCTTTCTTATTTATTAACATCCTTATAATATTTACTGGAAAATTCAAAGAGATCCCTCCTTTCTTGGATTTCTCCTAATGGAATGGCAGAACAATGCAATGCCATGGTGCGTTCTGCCACTCTACTTAGTTAGCTAAGAAGTCTTAGCAGATACAACTAATCAGATACAAGACAATAGCGTACCTAAGATACTCCCACATTTTTGCTGAAGTCTCGAGCTGTTTTTCTGTTTGTTTACGTTTTGACTTGATGTGTGCACTTGACATTACCAGTGTAGACCTGTGAGCTCACTCATTCTAGAATTTGATGTATTATTATTATTGTTATTAGATTAATAGAGGTGTTTAAAATGTATTGTTACATCCTAATAGGAACTGTCATTACTCAGGCTGATCACGTTGTACTCTGAAGTATAGATAAAAGGGTTAAAGGGGAAACAGGGCTGTTGGCACGATGTGTCCGCTTCCTCTCGCATCCTTTCAGCCTGGGGCTTGGCACTGGGCCAGCTAGGACCTCACACCCAGGAAGTGTGTATCTGCCTCCGCCTGCTCTTATCAGCTGTTTAGTGGTTTCGTCTGGGAAGCTGCCAGTCACATCTGCCTGGCTCCTTTCATCTGGTGCCACGTGAAGACAGGCAGCTCTTTGAACACAAAGAAAGCAGTGAGCTGTCATAGTTTCTTTTAGTTTTATTACCTCAAGTGCAAGGCAGGTGAAAGCGAATGTGATTAAGTGTTATTTGTTATGATAGTTCATATATCACCATTGTAACAATATTGTTATTGTGTCATGAAAGATTGTTGTGGTAGATTGGGGATCTTCTCGTTGTTCAGCTGTCAAAGTAAGGACCCAGCATTGCTGACTCATACGTTAGGAATAGGCCTATACACAGCAGTTCATTCTCAGGACCGCATTCTTTACTTTATTCTGTGTTGTGCAGAGCTGTGTAGATGTTTCAATACTAAAACATGGTAAACAATTTTATACTGTTCAGTTAGAGGTTTAGTTAGCATAATGCCACTTTTTCTCCTCGGATACTGAGGCCAATGTTGAAACATTGAGTATTGGCTGATACGAGCCAGTATAGCTTGTTCAAAACAACACTTTAAATTGAACTATTATTAAGGCGTTTCACTTATGATGCTATATTTGTTACATGATTGGAGTAGATTCATTCTTTTTTCCTCTCCAACATCTTGTCCAGCATTTCCTGCTGATATTGGCACGATACAGATACTTGGAGTTGAATAAGTGCATCTCTACTGTCAGTTGTTTTTAGAGTTTATATAGGCTACGTAGATTTTATATTCTGCTTATATGGAAATCAAATTGTGCATATTATTTGATTCTGCTGAGCGTAGATGCACCTGTTAGAATATGTGAAGCTAGTCACAGGGCCAGATGTGATCTCGAAATGACAACCGTGAGAAATTTGAGTTAGAGTCTAAACTTAACGTGTGAAATTTTGAGACCATTCCAATACCTTGCGAAGGTGGAGTGCTCGTCAACATTGCCCAGCATACAAAACCCCTTGTCACTAGTCTATGGACATAACATGAGTTAGCATGGTTGAAAAGACCCCTCAAAAAATCTCAGTTAAGCATGTGGATGTGCGTGTGTGGAGGACACATTAGATGTGGTAAAACAAATATTATCTCTTACAAGGAGAAATGGCTCCATTAGTTAATTATAGCGTTGGCTGGCTTGTTTTGTTTGTTTTACCGATTGTACTTCATATTTAAAAGAGCTCAGACTGGAGTACTTTGGGGGTGGGTTTTAGAGGGGCATATCCTTGTTTGCCACGGATGTTGCCACAATCCAGCACCGCAAGTTTAAAAAGTTGTCCCCAGTAGTATAAAATGGAATTAAAAATGGAGTTAAGTGCGAATGACGAGATAAGTGCTGTAACTATACTGTCCTACAGCGAACTCACCTCTTTCCTTACATCCCAACAAGCTTTAGAATCAGATCTGCTCCACCCAACTACAGACCTCAAACAGTCATATTTTAGTATTAGTGCATTCCCAAGCAACAAAGGTGTAAGAAAGAAGTGGGTTAATGCAAGTTACAGCCCTGATTTAAACAAAATTAAACTGAGGAAGCTGTATGTGTGGCTTTGAAGGGTAGGAGAACACTAGCTTCACAGGCTAGCTGTTTTTATCAGCTGGCTAACTTGAAGAAGCGCTCTGTCACTTGCACAGCACGGCCGAATTGATGTTCCTGTAGATGACAGATTTGTGACATGTTCCACTGTTTTGTGAGTGTTTGTCATGATCTGACCATGAAGGATAGTTTAAAACAGCAACTGACCACTCAGGAGCAAAAATCAGCCTTGAAACTTCAAGAAATAATGATTTGACATTTATTGCGATATGTATCGATATCGACTGATCTGAAATTTTTTATCGTGATAACATTTTTGGCCTTACTTCCCAGCTCTGGTCCCCAGACGTGTATTATTGTTGTTACAAGATAAGTCTGGCCTCACAAGACTAATGAAAGCATATAGATGAAGACTTTATACTAAAAAAAAAAAATCAACTTAAGCCAAAGCCCATTTAGAATTTACTGTTTAAAAAAATAAATAAATTAAAAAAAAATAATAATAAAAAATAAAATATATATATATATATATCCAGAGCGACTTACAAAAAGTGCTTCGTCTATCCAGAGAAAGTATCTTTGCTAGTTACCAATAGGTTAGGGAGAAAGCTAGTCCTGAGCTCAGATACTGCTAGAATCAGAAAGTCATTGACACCTAGAGAAAAAGGAACAGAGTTAAACACAGAGCAGTGCAATACAATACAATACATAAGTGCAGTACAATACATTACAATCAATACTTAATAAATATATATATGACACATTAGAAGGGTGTTGTATTGATAGAGATTCAATAAAAGAATCAGAGATGCTTATTTTTCTATGTTCAGTCCAAAAAAAGTGTTTTAAAGTTTTGTTTTTAATATATTTTTAAAGAAAATTTAAGTGTTTGAGAAACCAGTAATTCTCTTCTGTTATCTTCCTCCTCTCTTTTCTTCTGTTGTCTTCTTTCTTTTCTTCTACTTTTCTTCTCTACTTCTACTCTGTTCTACTCTCTTCTCCTCTCTTCCCTTCTCCACTCTTCTACTCTTCTATGTGTTTGTTCTCTTCTCTTCTGCTCACTTCTCTACTCTGTTCTGTACTATCTACTTTTCTACTCTTTTCTACTTCACCATCTTCTGTTCTGCTATGTTGTACTCTCTTTTTTTGTTCTCTTCTATCTACTCTTTTCTTGGTTCTGTCTTTTCTCTAGTCTTATCTTCAGCTCTCTTCTACTCTTTTCTCCTCATTTTTTCCCCTTTTATTCTTTTCCCTACTCCGCTTAATTGTCTCTCTCTCTCTCTCTCTCTCTCTCTCTCTCTCTCTCTCTCTCTGTCTGTCTGTCTGTCTGTCTGTCTGTCTCTATATCTATGTCTCTCTCCATGGCCAGGTCCACCACCACTATGTTAAGGACCAGTACTTTGTTGCTCAGAAAGATATGAGGCGTTCTCGGCTGGGGTTTTATGGGTTAGCCCTGTGCCGGCTTAGCCACAACATCCCTTCTAGTGGTGCCAGAACCCCAGCCTGCCTGGAAGCCACGCTGAACACTCACTCTAATAAGGCGCCACTCGATTTATTAGACCAAATCATACTTTTAATGTACATATTTGCTTCTGACACGTGTGGGGAGCCTCTGCCTGAGGTGATTGTTCAGTTTATGCATGTTTTATGTGAAAACACAATAACTGTGTTAATTGCAATTCGTGAGGCTTAGCTGTCTGGAACGAGGCAAAGTTCAGCTGTGGAGATATTGGCATGCCGTCCTCATCTCTGCTGACTTTCTGATTCACAGTTAAACTGTTTTGAGATGAATAAAACATACTACTTACCATCAGTGCAACATTCCTTTCCTTTGTGTGCTCTTTTACCATCTATGGGCAAACACGGTGAAATGAGTAAAGATTTGCTCAAGTTGCTCTGCACCTCCTAATATTCCACTTCCAGACAGTGTGCACAAGGGGGTCTGAGGGAGTTCTGTTATGTTGTTATTACTGTGGATAGTTTTGTCTGCTGTGGAGTTGGGTCTTTTTACCACTTTACTGGAGAATGCCTATTTTAAGACCTGTTGATCATTTTTCCTTGACCAAACATTTTAGTGAAAAGTTTTGGGTCGTATGCACTATAATCTATTCCAGATAGCAGGAAGATTTTCTAGCCTCGATAGATATTGTTAGATTTGTTTTCAAGCCAGAAGTTGCAAGAGCTTGTTTTTGTTTTGAGAATTTTGCAAGGGCCACTGGATATTATTGCCCAGTAGAGTGCTTTACTAACAGTCTATTCAATCTCTCATTCACAGTGATGAACTCCGAAAAGAGGCACGCCAGTTGAAGAAAGAGTTACTTGCAATCAAGCAGCGGAAAGAAGAGAGCATGAAAACCGAGGAGGTCGACAGTGCTGGTACGCGTCACTTTGCAGACACTTTAGAGATTTACAGTGCTGTACAAAAGTCGATAACCACAATTTAATTTATTTCATTTCCAGTAGAAGTCATTCATTTTTCAGTGTCAAGAAAAAAGAAGACGAAAAATTGCACAGAAACCTTAAACGACTAAATCTAATATCAGTTTTTGTCCATTATTTTTTAAGCAGGGCCAAATACCGTTTTTTGGGCTCCGATGCTTCTGTAGAAACAAACAGTGAATAGTTGAAGCTTCACCCCTTTGGGGTGTGCAGTGTAGTACAAGAATGTACTGTGGCATCGCCACACTGTGTTGAATGTAGCTCAGTTTTTTAAAAAGAAGAAATGTTTATTTTGGGCTGTTTTAGGTTCATTTGTACAAGGACTGTTGAAGAGCATAAATACGGTTGGAGTGGTGGGTTTTCCAGAAGAAAGCGGAGGGCTGTTAGCACTGGGCTGCCTGTGTTTCTTCTCGCCGTGTTTCGCGCTGTTCTCATAAAGCTGTGTTATGGACAGTAACTTTAAAGAACATCCAAATCCTAAAATTCAAAACCAGATACCTACCCAATGAAATAATTGAATATTCTGGTCCTGCCAGAGGCTCACTATCAGTTTTTAAAAGAAATCGGCAGGGATTTTTGTCCACACAGTTCAGTCTTAGAAGTTGCATTTTCTGCTTCTCACCATCCAAGAAGATTACAAATTTAGACTCATCAGCCAATAAAACCTTCCCCTGATCTCTTAGATGTCCAGATGCTTTCAGACCCACAGTGATGTTGTCTTCTAACAGTGGAAGTACTGTTTACTATAAGTACTAATTACTGTCTGATGGTGACAGTGTTGGTGGTCTACTCGGTCTTGTGCAGTTGTTAGGAGTCCCATTTTCTCTGTATCTTTTAGTGCTTTTTAAATGTGTTTTTAACTTTATTTTCACTTTCTCCTCTTTATACATTTTGTGTCTAATCTCTTAAGTAGAAGTGGTAGGTAAATGCACAGTAGTGTCTTCTAAATTTTGATCAGTAGAGGTTTTGCATTCAGCATTTGTAAGAGTAGCAGCGTAAGTTCTCTGTTCACTTGCAGTAAATTGGTGCTTGCTTTTGTTCTTTCCACTGCTATATCTGATCTGTCTGACAATAGACAGTTAACATGGTAGACATGGGTAACAAACCAACATAGCTTTGTTTTTCTACATTAGTCTCTGTGTTTTTAGGTCAAAAATAGCCAAGATTGCTTTTGTGTGTGTGTGTGTGTTTTGAAGCTTATCCAGACTAAATGTGGCATTCTAAGTATGTCTACTGTGACCAGGCATTTTTCTTCTGCACATTATCTGTTGCTTCATACAGTTCAAGCTGTGGTGTTTGTCAGTGCACCAAGTGATGATGAAACATATTTTTGGTCAGTCACTCTAACCACATAAACAGAGACAGTTGAAGTCAGAAATTCTCCCTTGCAACCAAACAAATCCATTTTTCAAATCTGTGGCTCACGGAGTTCCTTAAAAAAATAATCACAAATTTCCCATGTGTGATTCCCTATAGCTCTAGGTGGGACAGCGTTTCAGTCTTAAGCATGATATATAATGGGTGTAAAGTGGAGCTGACCTGTATGATTGCAGTTCAGGACTGTGTACTAAAGCAGCATGTCGGTGCAAAGTCACATTAAGAGCTTCGAAGAGAACTTGTTTTTACATATTTGTCCTTACTTGAACTGTTCTGGCAGAAGTGTGATATTTCTATGAAATGTGTGCTCCCCTTTGGATATGCTGGTGTCAGCATTGCGGGTGTAACAATACACATTATTTCAGGTTTGATATGTTGTTTGATACTGAAGTCTAGATTCAATTTGATTGTTGATACTTGATGTGTTAGAAATGTTTGGCTCTGCTGAGTTCTAATTATACACAGAATGATTTGGTGTAGATAAATAAAAATTCTGAAGTATTTTTTTTCCCCAGGCTTCTACAGTATAAGCTCCCAAAATCACAAATGTCTTAAACTGATAAGCAATAACAGAGTCTTTTGAGTGTGGGCATGTGCATAGAAGAAGCCCTCCTTCCTCATCCTCCCTCCTCCCTTGCCTCTTTACTCTTATAGGATGCACCCAGCCGAAAGACACCCACATCAGACGGGGATTAGCAACATGGCAAAAATTTAACATCACAATTCTTTTACATTTTCACAATACATGATACGTATCAGAATATTTAGTTGGAACAGAAAAAAGCCCCAGCAGTGCTATGTTTAAAAAAATTCTCTTAAAAACTGTGAGGACAATGATTTTATGCAGTGTTTCATGTACCACACTGCAGTAAATCCAACTAACAGGCCGAATTATGCTCTCTTTGTAATGAACCATGCTGTTGGTCTGGGTTCTTCAAGTGCTGATGATATTTGCAACTTAATCAGAAAAGCATAGTATAAAAAGTGCAATGAAGCCGCAATATAAACAGAAAGGACAAGCTGCATTTCTCATAGAACTGGTTTGTTAGTTTTAGCCTGACTGATACCAGAGCGTTTCCACTCGTACCACCTAAGGAGCCGCTTGACTTGGTCAACTGCATCAGACGAGGCTGCGGTGGACCAGCTGGTCCAGAAGCGTGAATGTAACATTTGCCAAATTCCTGCAGTCTCTGACGATCAGAGGCCTGAGAATATGGCACATGCATATAAGACAAATAACTTCAGAAATTCAACAAGACTGAAGTGTTTATTCTAATTTCTTATTCTACCTTAAATTGTTACATTCAGGCTCCTGTACACATGTCCGAATATAACTGCTGCTCAAGTTAAGGTGGAACCGAAAATTTGAACGAAAAAATTTGTGAATAAGAAACCAATTTGCCTTGTGGGGATCAGGACATGAATTATTAAGCTTTGTTTATGCTAAGCTCACGGGGCTAGTGTTATGAAGTATTACTGACATAGGTTTATCTATATATTGTTTAGATTTGCTTTTACTATTTTGCAAAAAAAAATTTCGGATTTACTTTCGTTGTTAAAATTGGTTCTTATTATAAAGTGAAGAAACATCCCAGAATAATAACACTGTTAACCTACCAGCATCAAAGCATCTCACTTTCATCTATTTTAATTGAAAAAAATACATATTGCTGCTGTCTCCAATCTCTATTTTTGTCATTTTTCAGTTTTTGTCATGATTTGAAAATGCTTGTTGCCCTTTACATTGTATGTTAATCTCATGATGAATGAACCAAAATAAATGGCCCAAAATGACTTGGAAAAAATTCTGGTTCCATAGACTTATATTAGAGATAAGGTATGATTTTCCCTCTCCTGTAAAGGTACCATTTTGGAGATACAAGGGTTTGTTCCGACAACAGTGATATATACCATGATATATACCAAAAATGAAGTTTTTATTGTGCTGTGATGCAAGGTGATGCACCTGCATGTCAACTGCTATCCTATATGTATATATCATTACCTCTTCATTCCAATAGAACAAGTAAAGCAGCACATTTTCACTGTCGATGTTTTACTGTTAAATAACTGTAGCTCCCGTTTACAGACACTTTGATTTGTCCTCTTTCGCCCCCTTGAGTACTGATTGCTTGAATTAGCACAGTAATTTTAGAATGCATGTTGAGTTTGTACAGCAAGACCATGCGTTTGGAGTGCATTGGCCAGGCATCGACATTTGTGTTCACCTACTTGTGTTGTGTATATTTCTGGCCGTAGTCAGTGCAAGGCCTATTTGAGATATGCGTTTATTCTTGGATGACCTTTTCCTTGCTTCAAGAGATCAGAGGAACTTGTTTAAAAAATGACTTTCTAAAAGGAGCTTAACAGCCTTGCACTTTATTTGCATTAGTAACACTGTGCAGTGTTCTCTGCTCCAAATCCTTTCTCACCAGTACATTATATTTCATTAAAGCCCAATAGATTACATCGACATAAAAAAGCCCCAGTGAGGTATGCCTTCCAGCGGACCGCTGTACAGTCTCTTCCCCTGTCTCACTCTCCCTCCTGCGTAGCGGGGAGGTTATTCAGTGAACCTTAATGTGTGTCTCGGCCAGTTCAGCTGAGGGCAGGCGACTCTTTGAAGGTTCCTCTCATTACACAAACGTGTAGGATGGGGGAAGTTTGTGCTCGCAGGGCTGCGGCGCTCTGATCTGTCAGTGGACGCCACGGGGAGGCTGGAGATCTGCTGTAACGATAGGGCACTGGAGTGTGTGTGTGTGTGTGTGTGTGTCAGGTGAAAAGGACAGCTTAATTTCACTGCAAGGGGTGAAAGAATGAGAGAGAAAGAGAAAGCAGCAGAGAGAAAGACTGGGGCACAATGAGACAGTGAAAGACGGATTGAGTGAGGGAGAGGCGCTCTCAATCCCTCAGTCTTACAATCAGGTTAAAGCAGATGAGCTCTGGCCCTTATCTGTTACTCCTGGACTGAAAGGGTGGCCCCAGGGCCCCTGCATTTTTGCCCCAACTTTCTTTGAGGATTAGTTTAGGCCTTAGCTTTGCACAGCATGGCCTATGACCTTCTCCAAGCTTTGTGTGGTGGCCCTGTTGTATATCAATGTCTTCTCATTTCACATTTTCTAAGGTGTGTCACCCTGACCCTCTCCAACACACCCAAAAGCTTTTTTTTTTTTTTCTCGTTGAATGCCTGGGAGTTCACCCTGGGATGTGGTATTTGCATTAGTCACAACCACAGAGTTTTAAATGGTGAGTGGAATTGGCTCAGAGAGTGCTTGAGTTGATTACTCAGTGTGAACAACCAAAACCAATTTCTTTTTCTTTCTTCTCACAAAAAAGCATTTATTTTTTCAGTAGGAATTTCAGGTTGTTGTCCATAATTGTAGTTTACACCCCCAAAGCCCCCCTCCCCCAAAAGAAACCCACTTTAATCCTGTGCTAATTGTTGTATTGTTTGGAGAAGGAGTTTTTGCATTTTTTTTGCTAACATGACGTTGGAAGAAGCGTTTACTTGTATTGTCTGTGGATCGAATTGAGCTGATATTGTCCCACAATTTCAAAAT